CGGTTCTTTGTCTCATCACAACAAAAATTTGGAGTGATGGACATTAAAGCCCCTTGGCGGGTCACAGCTCTCGGAGGACAGACCGTGTTGTAGTTCTTAAATAACTCAGTGTTACAGCTCTATTTATTTAGATAATAGCAGGAAAATCCATCTTTGAGGTGTGAGGGCATGTCGACCCAAAGATGCGAAAAGAAGAGCGCCCCATCGCGTGGGAGAGAGAGAGCTTTGGCTCCTCTTTTTATATGTGTCTCTGTCCCTGGGCCTGTCTTAAGTAAATCTGGCCAGCCAGGAGTGTTGTTTCTTTTACCTGAGGTTCTCACTCAGGTCCTCGGACCTTCCTTTGTTCTATTTTCTCGGGCTCTTCCCTTCCAGGTCTTTTAGCCACCACCATTCTGGACTCCTTTTCCCTATTCTAACTACCTAACACACCCAACCACCCTCCCTGTTTTTGTCTCCAAGGCCACCTGTGCAACGCACCAGGCACTTATTTGCTCTCAGTTCTGGAAGCCCCAAATTGAGGGGTTGGCAGGGCCACAGTCTCTCGAAGCTCTTCTGGAGGCTCTGCGCCCTGCTCTCCTCCTGGCGTCTGTGTCCCCAGCAATCTCAGGGTCCCCGCTGGCAGACACGAGGCACTGGCCTGCATCGTCACGGCATTCTCCCCCTTGTCTTCACAGGATTCTTCTCCCTCTGGGTCCATCTGTCTCTGTGGTCCTTCTCCTCTTCTTACAAGGACCGCAGTCACGTGGACTTCATGACCTCGTCTTAACTCCATTTCACTGCCAAGATTCTATTTTCAAATCGGGTCCCTTCACGAGTACAGGGGTTAGGATTTCAGTGCATCTTTGGGGGCTGGGGGACACAATTTCACTCAGAACAGTGTCCACTCAGAACACTGTCCACTCAGAACAATGTCCAGACCTCCCTCTTCTTCCCCACACCTTGCCTCCAGCTCTGAGTGGGAACCCAGGTCTGCCCTGTCCGATTCCCTTGCCCCCTCCAGTAGCTCCCCCAGTTTCATCCACCTGCCCTGGGCTCAGCTTGTGGGCCCGGTGGCCTTGGGCCCTTCCTGCAAGCCTCTTCCCACCCCAGGTTATACCCACCAGCATCCAGACCCTGCTCGGATTCACCTTCCCCCAGGCTAATCCAGGAAGGATTCTGGAAATCTCACAGGGCCCCCTTGGCAGCTGATCATGGGGCCTGGGGCCCACTCCTGAGGCTGGGGTTCTGTCTTCTCCCTGGGGGAGAGCTTGGCTCCCTCCAGCACCTGTGCGGGTTGGGTTTTTCTTGGCTTCCCAGGACTACTCGGGTGGTTGACATCTGCTCCTTGTAGAGGGGACACCTCCCCTGGCGGTGAAAACAGCTGCCACTTGCTTGACAATCTTATCTCATCTCTGAAACTTTCAGAACATCATGGGTGCACAATGCTTTGTACTTTGCAGGGGGCACACACGAGCATAGGTAGGTGCTGCAGCCCTTATTAAATCAATAAACAAACAGATCATTTTCTCTGTGAGAGGTAGCAAACCATTTGACTTGGCACTGATGCCGAATTGACCAGACTACTCAGAGCCAGGAGTTTTACACTTCAGTTTGCAGAAGGATTCCTTCCGGCTGCTCATTGCACATCAGATTTCTGCAGTTCCCTAAGTCCTGCATCTTGTGAGCAAAACACCCAGATCGGAGCCCAGCGGGTCCAGGCCCTTGGCCTCAGCCTTGCTGCCCCTCGGGGTGGGGACAGCGGAGATGGTGGTAACATTGCACGTGTGACTTCAGAATCCAGGGGCCTGGAATATTCCCTGAGCTTACTCTCCTGTCCTGCCTCTTAAATTCCATCCTCTCTTCTTTTCTAGTCTATGCTATCTATTCTCTTCTCCCTTTACTTACAAGGTAAAAAAAAAAAAAAAAATTACTATATACCTGAAACTAACACAACACTGTAAATAAACTCTATTTCAATTTAAAAACAACAACAACAACACCAAAATGGGGGCAGGGGAGCAGCAGGGAAGGGGGAGTGTCCAGATAGGGAGAAAAAGGAAGAGGAAAGAAGAGACAGTGAATGGGCGCACAAACAGCTCCAGGGCATGTGGTCACTCACTGCGGGATTTCCCCAGCTACAAGGAGAGGTAAGGGTCCAGAGCAGTGGCCACACAAGACAGAGAACCAGCATTGAGGACAATTCTCACTGGATTTCTGCTCAGCCCACCCAGGGCCCCAGATGAGCTTCGGTGAGCTTTTCAAGCCTCAGCTTCCATCTCCCACTTCCGTTCCTTGTGGAGCAGGGAGGGGATGTTCTCATTTGGATTGCTTCTTGGCTCGGTTTCTTTTTTCACCTTCTGGGAAGATTTCCTGCATAAACGATCTCTCTCCAAAAGTTCATTTCCAGGGACTTGTTTTTCTTTAAAAAAAAAAAAAAAAAGTCTACAGATTTTTCTCTGCAGACTTCATGTCTGAAACACACCCCGTTCCCGCTCTGGAATAGTTTCCTCTGTACGTTTCTCCTTGTGGGTTTTATTCCAAATGGAGCCAGGGTGGCTACCACCAGACAAGGCCCTTTGTGCTCCCCTCCTGGAGGCCAGGGGGTGGTTCAGCAGGTTGTCGACACAGAGAGAAGGCAGGGTTCCGGGCCGGACCCTTGCCGGAGAGCATGCTCCTTTTTTAGACAAATGATGAACTCCCCTTCTTGAGCCCTTTGAACAGGCTCCCCTTCGTGAGAACTGCGTTGGCAATCCTGTGAACACACCATGTTGTTGTCAAGTAAAGCCCGGGACCCCAGGGAGCACGGCCACCACCCTCCAGCCCCAGTCCACTGACAGATGTCCATCTCTTAGGCTCTGGGCTGGCAGAACTGGGAGGATGCGTGTCAGGAAGGAAGTGAAGCTGGAGTGTGGAACATATAACATTAGGCTTAAGGTTGAAGGCTGGAAGGAATGAGTGCTTTATTTGCTTAAGGCAGCTCGGTTACACCTGATTTTCATAAATGAAATAAGGCCGAATGGTATTTAAGACAACCGGACACACTGGAACATGGGATAGAGCATGAAGAAAACCCAGAAGTTGGCAATAAATACACTGAATAAATTCAGTCAGTCATTTCAATTCCCTTTTGGTAAGACATTCATGGGAATCGGATGTTTGGAGGGTCTCCACGAGTTTTTACTTCTTCGTGGAATGCTTAATCCCCTTGTGTTGTGACAATAAGCTGCACTGCAGCATCGATGGGAAGAAGGGGCTGGTGTCTCAGACGCAGCTGGGTCTGATGCAAACTGTGCTTTCCATTGGAGGCTCCCCCAACTACAAATTTTGGAGGCTCCCCCAACTACAGGTAAAGACCATATTCAGGAAAATAGCAATAACTAACATTTTTTTCTAAAGACTCTGTTTTTATGTGGACCATTTTTAAAATCTCTATTGAGTTTGTTACAACATTGTTTATGTTTTCTGTTTTGGTCTTTTGGCCATGAGGCATGGGGGAGCCTAGCTTCCCAACTAGGGATCGAACCCATACCCCCTGCAATGGAAGGTGAAGTCCCAACCACTGGACTACCAGGGAAGTCGCAATACTAACATTTTTGAGTATGGGCCTCAGGTACTGGGTTAACTGCTTTATAAATTATTTTATTTAACCCTCATAAGCCTCATAGTGGGTTTCCCAAGTGGTTCAGTGGTAAAGAATTTGCCTGCAATGCAGGAGACATGGGTTTGATCCCTGGATCAGGAAGATCCCCTGGAGAAGGAAAATGGTAACCCACTCCAGTATTTCTGCCTGGGAAATCCCATGGACAGAGGAGCCTGGCAGGCTATAGTTCATGGGGTCGCAAAGAGATGGACACGACTTGGCGACTAAACAACAAAGCCTCACGATACAGCATGATTCCACTTTATGGGTGGGAAAACTGGGAGCCAGAGAAGCCCGGGGACTCGCCCAAGGTGATGCACCTAGTAGCTGGGACGTGGATTCGGCTCCAGTCTGGCAGCTGAGTCCATAACCTGTGCTCTCATTTCCTAAGATTATTAACCGACTCTCAGTTATCCAGGAGCTCATCACTTGGAGTTATCTTTTTCGTGTTATTCTAGCTTTACTGAGATGTAATTGACACATCACAGTACAAGGTTAAGGTGGACATTGTGCTGACATGATGTACTTGCATGCTGTAAAATGATCACCACCTTAGGGTTAGCTGATATCTCCCTCACGAACAGTTATGATTTCTTTCCTGTGGTGAGAACATGGAAGATCTACTCTCTTGACACTTTTTAAATATATCATACGTGGTATCAACGTCAATCACCATGCTGCATATTAGATCCCCAGAACTCATTCGTCTTCTCATTAGAAATGTGAACACTTTCCCCCACTCCCTGTCTCCTGGTAACCACCACTCCACTCTGATTGTATGACTTCAGTTTTTTCAGATTCCACATGGAAGTGAAGTTATACAGTATGTCTTCTGTAACTTATTTTACTTAACACCCTCAAGGTCAGGCCATGTTGTCACAAATGTCAAGATTTCCTGCTTGCTTATGGCTGAATAACTGTCCTTTATGTAGGCTGTGCTGGTGGCTTAGATGATAAAGAATCTGCCAGCAATGCAGGAGATGTGGGTTTGATCCCTGGGTGGGGAAGATCCCCTGGAGAAGGAAATGGAAAAACCACTTCAGTATTCTTGCCTGGAGAATCCCATGGACAGAGGAGCCTGGCAGGCTACAGTCCTCAGGGTTGCAAAGAGTCAGACACGACTGAGCGACCAACACCTATACTTCACTTCATATATATTATATACGTAATATACATCTTCTTTATCCATTTATCTGTTGATGGACACTCACCTTGTTTCTTAAGACTCGGTTACGGCAAATAACCCTACAATGAACAGGAGGGTGCAGATATCTCTCTAAGACTCTGATTTCCTTTCCTTGGGTGGATATATATCTAGTCTTGTTTTCAACCCACTCCAGTATTCTTACCTGGAGAATTCCACGGACAGAGGAGCCTGGAGAACTACAGTCCGTGGGATCACAAAGAGTTGGATATTGCTGAGCGACTGAGTACACAGCACACACACAGATGCCGATAGTTTACACAAGACAGAGGCAATAATATGAGCTGTGTTACCATTTCCTGTGAAAGGCACAAAGGTAATATAGCATGAAACCTCAACCCACGAGACATTTATAATCCATTTGTAGAGACAAGTCTAAAAATAATTTCAGTTACAATTCAAGTTGACATCAAATGTTCACTGAAACCATATTTTATCAAAGCTCAGGATCTACACAAGTAACCACCACCTCCCGATGCCCAGATCTCTCCGGTGAAGTCAGCATGTCTGTCACATAGAGACTCCTGTCTGAGTGTCATAGAACCTGCAGGATTCGGGAGTGAAGATGGGATGCGGATGAACCTGTTGGCAGGGCAGCAATGGAGATGCAGACATAGAGAACAGACTTCGGCACACAGTGTGGGAAGGAGAGGGTAGGATAAATCTAGAGAGGGGCATTGAAACATATACATTACCATATGTAAAACAGATCACCAGTGAGAATTTGCTTTGTGATGCAGAGAGCTCAGCCAGGTGCTCTGTCGTAACCAGTGGGGAGGGGTGGGGTGGGGTGGGAGGTGGGAGGGAGGTTCAAGAAGCAAGGAACGTATGTCTACCTATGGCTGATTCATGTTGATGTATGGCAGAGACCAACACAATATTATAAAGCAATTGCTCTCCAATTAAAAATAAACAACAACAACAGGAAGATGGGACCCGGCAGAGGGCGGAGGGCGCATGGGCAGGAAGAGAGGGTCAGAGGTCAAGGAAGAAACAGAATGAGCCCTTGGCCAGTTCAAGCCTCCCTCCAGCCATGCTCCCCAGCCTCAACACCACTGACACTGCATCCCTGCCTTCTTTCCTTGTTGAGGAAGGAGAGGCAGGCGAGAAGAGACCAGAAAGAGGGAAGGAAACAAAAAATGTATTAAGGAAAAGATGAAAAAAAAAAAACTGCCAGCAAAAGAGAAGGTTTTAATGATCTTTGCACTGCTCTGAAGGTGAGAAAGAGAAATAAAATCTCTAAAAACATAACCCTTCACTCTTAGCTATTTCAAGCAATGACTTTGTAATATTTACTTCCTGGAGAAGAGGAAACAGGCAGAAGGAAATGAATGGACAGGGCTTCTCTAGAGAAATAAAATCTCTATAAAACATAACCCTTCACTCTTAGCTATTTCAAGCAATGACTTTGTAATATTTACTTCCTGGAGAAGAGGAAACAGGCAGAAGGAAATGAATGGACAGGGCTTCTCTAGAGAAATAAAATCTCTATAAAACATAACCCTTCACTCTTAGCTATTTCAAGCAATGACTTTGTATTATTTACTTCCTGGAGAAGAGGAAACAGGCAGAAGGAAATGAACGGACAGGGCTTCTCTACATGGGATGTGTGTACCTCAGAGGAATCCGTAAGCTCAAAAGTTTTTCAAGTTACTTCATTGCTGTGATTTTTCTGAGGAAATGGTTCTGGAGCTCCCATCAGCATCTCAAGGATTTCCCAGTCCTGCAGATGAAGGCAGAGATATGTTAGAAGATGTAGCTTTAAAATTCTCACTTGGCAGGCTATTGTGAATCTTCCCTCAGGGGGCTTCCCCCGAAAGGATAAAAGAGTGACTTGATCAGACTTTCCAGAAGCCCAGATGTTACACAGAGTCATTTCCAGGCACATGTCCATATCCTTTAACCATGTCTCTTATGATAAGATTTCAGCCTTTCTCACTATTCCCCAGTTGCTTCTAAACATGCACTGGTCAATTTCTTTCTTGGCATGTGGCATCCACAAAGCCAGCATCGTACTCCAGAGTAAGTCCAACCAGCACAGAGAAAAGAGAGTCACCAGCTGTTTTTTGGACACTGTGCTTCTGCTGATACAATCTAAGATCACATCAACTTTTAAAATAAGCACAAAACTCTCTTGTCTTGCATCAAGCCTTTTTGACAAGTGAAATTTCTTAGTCTTTCTGTATCTGTTACCTCTGAACTCTATCAGTTTTCATTTCCCTTTTACTTATATGGTTGATTTTGAGAGTAATAAAGGGCAGAAAATTATGTTTATCTTTTTCCAATTTTATCTTGCTGGATTCGGTCATTGTTACCAGTTGCTGATTTAGGTTGATCAATGAATCAATGCTCTTTAAGTAGAAAGTGATCAAACAGTTGTCAATTGAGCTATGATGGCATCCAGCCCACATCACTCCATCGTGGCAATTTGAATTTCATGAAATTCTTTCTTAAGCAACTTGCTCAAACTTACCCTTCCCAGGTGGCACAGTGGTAAAGAATCCACCTGCCCATACAGGAGATGCAAGAGACATGAGCTTGACCCCTGGGTTGGGAAGATCTCCTGGAGTAGGAAATGGCAACCCACTCCAATATTCTTGCCTGGAAAATCCCATGGACAGAGGAGCCTATTGGGGTACAGTCCATGGGGGTCACAAAGAATCAGATACAACTGAGCGACTGAGCACACACACACATACATTTAGTTTGCCTCATGTAAACTGTGGTTGAAAGACAGATTTTGGCTCAACAATTAAAGCTCCTTGGGAATAGAATTGATGCTCCAGATGGCTGTGAGTGTCCTGTCAATGAAGATTGTCTAATGTCTAGCTGGTCGTGGATCAGAAATAAAATAGAAAAATTTCATGTATCATATGAAGTATTGAATTCTGCAATCTGCATGGTGACTCACAGTTCCAGAATTTTTTGACTGCAGATGACTTCAGCAGGTAGTGAATAAATCAAGTGGAGGCTTCAGGTGCAGCTTGATCCAGAGCACAATGATGTCATCATGACGCCTCTCTCCGCTCAGCTTGCTGTGTGTGTTGGTTTCACCTGTTGGCTGTCTCACTTGGCTACAGTCAGACAGCTACAGCATCCTCCCGAGGCTGTGTACTCAACATACCAAGCCCAAAGGATTCCAGTGTTCCCAGCAAACTGCTTCAGGCTTACGCAGATCAGGCTGGACTGGGTCACATGTCCATCCTACAACAATCACTGTGGCCAAAGAGATGAGACCTACTTCTGTGGCTACTGGTCCCTGGATAGCAAGTCACTGCCCAACTTAGGGACTCGAACAACAATCAGTTCATTATGGCTCCTGGTTTCTGTGGGTTAGGAATTTGAGTAAGCTCACCTGGGTAAGCTCTGGCTTAGTCTCTCGTACATCTACAGTCAGACCGGGCTGGGAGATGGAAAGGTCGGTCCTGGGAGCTGGCCCTCCTCCCAGAGTCTTGGAGCTTCTCCGTGTGATCTCTCCAGCTGGGCCAGTTTGGGCTTCCCTCACAGCCTGGAGGGCTTGCCCGGTGGCTCAGAGGGTAGAGCGTCTGCCTGCAATGTGGGAGACCTAGGTTCGATCCCTGAGTCAGGAAGATCCCCTGGAGAAGGAAATGGCAACCCAGTCCAGTACTCTTGCCTAAAAAATTCTGTGGACAGGGGAGCCTGATGGGCTATAGTCCATGGGATGGCAAAGAGTCGGACACGACTGAGCGGCTTCACTTTCACTTTCTCACAGCGCGGAGGTCTCAGAACTGTCAGAGTGCTCACCTGGCAGGGTCCCAGGAGAACAAAGAGTGAGTGTTTGGCATTTTTGTGACCCAGCCTCGGAAACCACGCAGCATGACTTCACCCTACGCTACTGAGTGAAAAAGTCACAAAAACACACCCAGGTTCAAGAGGCAGGTACGCAGACTCTGCCTCTTAATAGAAGAGCAGCAGGTACTAAAAGAACATCTAGAAGCACAGCCATCTTTAGAAAGTATAATCGCCGCATATAACAATGGGCTTAATCCAATCCAAACCCAGTGCTGAGCTGAGAACCCTGTAGGTGACAGTCCCCGCTAAAAAACCTGGGTGTTGTTGATGGAGAAGAGAGACATGGACAGTGACATGGGAAGGCCACTATTTCTTCCTAATTTGATGTCTTAATATCTATTCTATAATAACTTTATCATATGACTTAAATTTTGCAGAAAACTTATTTTTCACCAAAATGAAACACAAAAGTTTAATTTTAAAAGAAGATTTTATTAGATTACACCTCATTAACTTAGTTAGGTCCAGTTGAAAATTAGTCTGACACATTAGGCTGAGGGTTTTTTTTGTGTTGGTAGCACAGCATAGCACATAAACAGTATGGCATTAGCAAAGGCAAAAGCCAATAAACTGTTTTTAGAGGCAAACAGTTTTAACATTGTTGAAGAACAAGGGCTAATTACAAATGTTTCTGAGAATCTGCTCGTTCAGCACTTTTGCGATTATGAAACTTCTCTCCTATCCTCATCCTGGCTATAAAATTATTAAATTCTAGGAGGAATTTAGCAAATACAGCAAAATGTGTGGAAAATAAAGCTTTATTTTTCCCCCCAGCCATCCACAACTCAGTATTTTTGTGCTTTTGCTGAAGTAATATTGACCCTATCCTATTTACAGTCAGGCTTTATAATTTCAGGAAATGACTGCCAAAAGAAAGATGAAATTTATTATTATAAATTCATACTTGAAAGGTAAAAAAAAAAAAAAGCTGCCTTTTGTGGATGCACAGCTGTTGTTTCAAAGATTTACTTTCCTCCAAAAAAGAGGAGATATATGTAAACACACAGCTGATCTACTTTGCCATAGAGCAGAAACTAACACAGCACTATAAAGCAACTAAGCGTGTGTGTTAAGAAACTTCAGTTGTGCCCGATTCTTTACGACCCCGTGGACTGTAGCCCACCAGGCTCCTCTGCCCATGGGATTCTCCAGGCAAGAATACTGGAGTGGGTTGCCATACCCGCCTCCAGGGGATACTCCCAACCCAGGAAATGAACCCGTGTCTTTTAAGTCTCCTGCATTGACAGGTGGGTTCTTTACCACTAGCGCCACCTGGGAAGCCCTGGAAAGCAACTATACGCCATAAAATTGTTTAAAAAGATTTCCCTTCCTTCCTCCAGGTTGGCTGATAGATTAGAGCATTCCTGCTCTGAACCTTTTTTGTCTTGCTAAATAAATGCATCGGCAAGCTAATTAAAATGAAAGCCCTCCACCCTCTCCCTGGGAGGGGTGGCCAACGTCAGTTAATCACCTGTTGATGACTACAGATTGTCAAAGGGGGTTTTCTCTTGTAAATCCGTGGCCTGCCAGGACTGGCAAAGGGGTTGTTGAGTGCGTGGAAAGATGCTCAGCGCAGGTCTCACAGCCTCTGCTCCCTGACACCACAGCCCACTCCCAACAGAACGATGTTCAAGCAGTTGAAGGACTGGTTCCACAGCTCTATGGTTTGGCGGTGGCTAGGTGATATTTCTGAGCAGTTTCTTCACTCAGACGCCTATTATGCCAACCCCTCAATAAAGGAATCAGCTAAGAAGTTCAGTGTTCAGACAATGGTTCATTGTCAGGTCTGTATGAATTCCAACAGCAGGCTGGCAGGATGACTTTTTAAAAAAAAAACCATATTGACTAATTGACCTATTATTTTCACATCATGCAGGCTGTTGGGAGGGTTGCAAAAACCTTCTCTCCAATTTTAGTTTCTTGCTGGACACACTGAGTCTGAACTTGTGATTCCTTTGTCTCTGGTCCAGTGCCCCATGGACTTACATCTGATTCCTGTGGAGAGAGGGGGCTTCAGGTAAAAATAAAATGAGCTGCCTCCTCCTAGAATTCCAGACAATATCAACATTCAAGGTAGTATGACTGACACTATACAAAAGACCGTAACAAATATTGAACTGTTAATGGCACGCATAGGGATGCAGGGCATGGATGTCTATAGCTCTCTTCAGTTCAGTTCAGTCACTCAGGTGTGTCTCACTCTTTGTGACCCCATGGACTGCAGCATGCCAGGCTTCCATGTCCATCACCAACTCCTGGAACCTACTCAAACTCATGTCCATCGCGTTGGTGATGCCATCCAACCATCTCATCCTCTGTTATCCCCTTTTCCTCCTGCCCCCAATCTTCCCNATCTGAGGTTATTGATATTTCTCCCAGCAATCTTGATTGCAGCCTGTGTTTCATCCAGCTCTCTTAGAAATGCCTAAAAGTGCAGAATGCAGAATTCCTAAAAGAAGTGCCGGTCTCTTAGAAATGCCCAAAACAATATGACGGGCTGATGAATGGGTGAATGGAAAGAGAAGAAGAAATGGTGGGGCCAAGTGTCTTGGGTGGACCAGAGGCAAGAGCTCCCTGGAGACCCACCCCCACCCCAGGACTCATTTTGGGGGACTTTGCAGATGTCCTGAATCTTGCATTAAGAATCGACCATTCTTCAATTTTAAAAAGAGAAAGAAAGCCACTGGAGCTCCAGTTACAGATGAAAATGCATATAATTTTTCAGATCTACAGTACAGATTTGTTTTGATCAGGAAATTTCACATCATGAACTAAATTATGTTTGTAACTTTTTAAGATGACCCTTCTTTTTTTGTAAAAAATCACTTTCTCTTAGATAGCAGAGTACACATCATCTACCACAAGTTTAGCAAAAGACAGAAAACATTTCCAATTAAATATTATCAAAGT